GAGTGTGTGTGTGTGTGTGTGGTGTGGTGTATGTATGTAGGTGTGTGGTGTGCACGGTGTGTGTGTATGTGTGTGTGTGGTGTGGTATATGTATATAGGTGTGTGTATGTGTGTGGATGTGTATGTGGGGGGGATGTGTGTGTGGGGGGTGTATATGTGTATGTGGGGGGGGTGTATGTATGTGGGGGAGGATATGTGTGTGTGTGGGGGGGTGGTTTGTAAGGCATCATGGGAGGTCAGGGAAGGCATGACACCCTGATGAGCTTTTCCATAAATGTGTTGTCCTGCAGACCCATAGGAAAGCCTGGCCTTCTTCTTGCGATAGGGGCTGAAATTAGTCTATTCAGTGCTAGGCCTAGCGTTTGAGACCTGCCTGATGTCTAGCCTCTCTCAGTCAGGGGCTCATCTGTCTGGTATCTTCCTCACAGCTCTGATGACAGGGTGCAGTCCTGCATTTGCCATGCAGCACATTGTGGCTGTGCCCCATGGACTGGTACGGAGAAGCCTCCTTGGAACGGACCTCCTCATGACAAGGACTCTGTGCAGTCCAGGTCCCAGCCAGCCCAGAGAAAAGCGACCAGAGGCTGCAGCCTTAGGGCTGTATCACCGCCTCCCGGCATTGGGAAGAGCATTGGGCCACAGCATTCAGCAACAAGCGACCTCCACAGCCAAGGCTTGGTGGGACAGATATGAAGAGTTTGTGGGACTCAATGAAGTTCGAGAGGCCCAAGGAAATGTAACCGAGGTGAGAAGGGAGCCTGGGTGGTTGGCTTTGCCTTTGTTTTGGGAAATATGTCTTGGGTTCCTAACAAAAAAGTTCCCATCTGCATATGTGGTGGCAGCTGGGAAAACTACATGGACAGTTTGGTCCTTCTTGTTTAAGACAGCATCTTATGTATCCCTGGCTGGCCTTGGAATCCCTATGTAGCCAAACTCCTGATCTTCCTGTGTCCGTGTGCCACCACAGCTAGCCTTATTTTCTTTCTGAGACAGGGCTGTGTGTCCTCAAGTCCAGGCTTGCCTGGAATTTATATTCCAGGTGGCTTCGAACTTGTGATCTCCCTGCATCAGAGCTGAGATTATAGGTGTGGTCAGCACACCCAGCTCAGGCTTGCCTTTTCTTAAACAAACGTCACTGGATGGAATATTTGACTCTCTCTCATGTGGAAGTCTGTGTCTGCACTACAGGGATGAAGGCCTTTATGAAAATACTTAAGTACTTGAAAAGTCCTGGCTAATGACTCCCCCCTTGCATTAGGCCAGCAAATCGTCCTTCATGGACTGTTTTGCCTTATTGTGTGAAGACAGAGGGCACTGGAAACATCATATTGGGAAGCAGACAGAGCTGCCTATTTTTTTTTTTTCTTCAAGCCCTTGGTGGCAGCAGGAATGCATTCCATCACCTGTGTCCACTCAGATGCAGAGGAGTGTGGCATGGTAGGAAGAAATTGAGGTTTAGGCACATGGTTGTCTCTTCTCCTCGGAAAATATTTATACCAGTGAGTTTTGCTGAGTTGAAATTTCCAGGACCATCAGCTGGAGACTGTAGCGAATACTTTGATGGTAGTATTGTAGGCCTCAGTAACACACGGCAAACAGCGTAAGTACATGGGTTCCTCATGGTGGTTCCCATCAGACAAGAGTTGGCTGGTTTTAGTGGACAAAGATTGTGTCACTGTTTGCTTTTTGCAAGTTTCTCAGGGGCATGTTATTTCTGCTTGAATGAATAAATCCAGTGCTTCGAGTGGGCGTGGCCTATGGCTGCCTGTTGAGCATGCCAGAGTGAGCAGGGATTAATGTCCAAGGACTCTTTCTACCTTTCACAGTAACACCCCAGTGACCTCTTTTCAGCTGCTGCCTTGTTAGCAGTGGAGCTGAGCCTGTTTGGGGATGGACAGAAAGGGCTGATGGCATCTGATGTTCTCTCTGCAGGCAGAAAAGGTGTTCATGGTGGCTCGTAGCCTTGTCCGAGAGGCTCGGGAGAATTTAGAGGCTCAGCAGGCTAAGCTGAAGGAGGTGAGGGATCGTTTGGACCGAGTCTCCAGGGAGGACAACCAGTACCTGGAGCTGGCTACTCTGGAGCACAGGATGCTGCAGGTGCGTCCCTCAGGCAACAGCCCTTGCTTACCTGCACAAGGCCTCTGGCATGGCCGGGTGTGAGGTGGTAACCATGACTCTTGATGTCATGGCCCCAGGCTTCCAGAGCCTGTCTGCCTGTTCTTTCCTGAGTCCAGCAAAGTACTGACTGATGCCCAAAGTACTGAAGAGAGTGTGGAGGTGCTGGCTCAGGGAATGCCACACACTTATTTCCTATAGACATGTTCTGTACGACTGCCCACTGGGAAGATCACGTGGCTGCCTTTCACACTCCTCATGGCTCTGCTCCACATGCAGCTAGGTATTTTCTGTCGTCATTCATGCAGCAGGTGTTTGTGGCGCCAGGGGCAGGGGAGTGGCCCCTGTGCCTCTGACTGCAGTCACAAGGCTCCTGGTTGTTGTCTGACACCACTCTGTTCCCACAGGAAGAGAAGAGGCTCCGAGTAGCCTATATGCGTGCAGAAGACTCTGAGCGGGAGAAGTTCTCTCTCTTCTCTGCAGCTGTGCGGGAGAGTCACGAGAAGGAGCGCACACGGGCTGAGAGGACTAAGAACTGGTCCCTCATTGGCTCAGTTCTCGGAGCGCTGATCGGTGTGGCTGGCTCCACCTATGTTAACCGTGTCCGGCTACAAGAACTGAAGGCCTTACTCCTGGAGGCACAGAAAGGGCCCGTGAGTCTCCAGGAGGCCATCCGTGAACAGGCTTCTAGCTACTCCCTCCAGCAGAGAGACCTCAAGGACCTCATGGTGGATCTGAGGGGCCTGGTGCATGCTGGGCAGGGCCAGGGCTCTGGGTCACCAACAGGTACTTCTTCTACCAGAGGAAAAGACATAGATGCCCTTTCAGCTGCCATGAAAGAGCAGCTCAGTCATTCCCAGCAGGTCCATTCCTGCCTGGAGGGTTTACGAGAGCGGCTTGATGGCCTGGAAAAGACTTACAGCCAAATGGCTGGGTTGGTTCAGCTTGCAAAGGCTACAGCACATCCAGGCCTGGAGGAGCCAGCAGACGGGGCCCTGCCCAGCTCTTTGCTGGAACAAGGGAGCATGATCTTGGCCCTGTCTGATGTGGAGCAGAGGCTAGAAGCCCAAGTCAACAGGAATTCTATCTACAGCACACTGGTCACCTGTGTGACATTTATGGCCACGTTGCCCGTGCTCTACATGCTGTTCAAAACCAGTTAGCCTTGGGGGCCTCTTCAGAGGGGCCTGAGGGTGAATGTGGCTTTTGCTGGTGATATGACAAATCTTGAGGTACACACAAACGCAAACTGAGTACCATCTGAGAGGCTCACTGGCAGTTATATTTTATTTTGTAGGTAATGCTTATTCACATTAATTATCAAAACTTTGCAGATGTCCAATTAAAATATATAAGAATTTGTATTATTTAAAAGATTTTTACATCAGACTCAGTTTTGTTATTGACTTCAGAAATTTGGGGCTTGGGTTCAGCCAGCAATCACCCCTTTAGTTCCTCTCTTATCCTATCTTGGTCCTGGCTCAGGACTGTTAGATGAGGTTAGCCCTGAGGTCTAGATTCTCACTTTGAATATCCTGACTTGCCCTCTGCTTGTTGGGCCTTTCTGGATAGGGGTTCAAATGAACAGAACCTAGCCTGGTGCATAGCTTTCTGCCATGGGGAAGGGAAGAGAGGGACTTCCTGGTTCTGATGCTGAAGTATGCTCAGAAGGAAGGAAGAGACCGACCGGGAGTCACAGATCCATGCTTGTCATGCAGCACTGATGCAAAGTACTCCCCATGTAGCCTGGGGCCCTGAAAGGCATGAGCATAGTTCAGATCCATGCCAGTAGCGGTGTAGAGAATTAGTTAAGGTACAGTGAAACACCGATGTGGACTGCCCTGAGAACCCTGACCTCTTTCCAGTGACCCTTGACTTCCTCAGCTAAATGGCGTGGGTGGCCTTACGTAAACAGAATTTGTGGAGCATTGCTCTGTGCCTGATTATTAGAGGTCTAGAACTATAGTGGGGAGTCAGTCTAACAGCCTCCCAGAGGGCACCCCAGCTATAAGCTTCAGGTGTGAGCTTGTTGGTGCTTTTGGAGCCAGAAGTGTTTCCCACGAGAAGCCGTCTACTCTTGGATGCCGTGTTCATTCCTAAACAGCAAGCATGACCCAAATGGCTCAAGTTCTCACCTCTGACAATCTAGTCTCTTGGTCATTTGGTCACTTCATTTTCAATATACAGTTCCCTAGGGGAGAAACAACCCCCCCCTCACCTAAGAGTGTTCATACTCCTGGAGGGCCAGGAAGTGTCGTGTCTGTGTCATACATGAGGACAGGCTGTGTAGGTGTGTCCAGGCTCCCCACTGGGATAGTTGAGTAAGTAGGTTTGAGGGGAGCGGATCCCCACACATGAACCGGGGCTCTTACAAGTTGCAGAAGTAAAAGGCCAATGTAAGAGGGAATCATAGTAGACTGTCCTAGCTGAGGTGGGGGTAGGTTTGGGAGAGCTGTGGAGCATAAGGTTAGCGGGTGGGGAAAGGGTGTTGGAGTGCTGGGTTGGCAGTTACAGAGTATCATCAGGCCAGGGTGCGGAAGGCCTCTCAAGGTGTGCTGACCACATGCTAGGTGACTGGAATCAGGTGCTGAAAGTGGGGGTGGAGGAAAAAGAGGGGTGCTCTGAGACCTAGGTGAAGGGTATTTTAGAAAGCCGGGAGGTGAGAGGATCCTGTCTTAGTTTCTATTGCTGCTGAAACACCATGACCAAAAGCAAGTTGGGGAGGAAAGGGTTATTTGGCTTATGCTCATCATTGACAGAAGTCAGAACAGGAACTCAAACAGGGCAGGATCCTGGAGGCAGGAGCTGATGCAGAGGCCACGGTGGGGTGCTGCTTACTGGCTTGCTCCTCAAGGCTTTCTAATAGAACCCAGGTCTAGGGGTGGTGCCACCCACAATGGGCTGGGCCCTCCCCCATCTCACTAATTAAGAAAATGCCCTACAGAGGGATCTTAGGAAGGGTTTTTTTTTTAAATATTTTATTTATTTATTATGTATACAACATTCTGCTTCCATGTATATCTGCACACCAGAAGAGGGCACCAGATCTCATAACAGATGGTTGTGAGCCACCATGTGGTTGCTGGGAATTGAACTCAGGACCTCTGGAAGAGCAGTCGGTGCTCTTAACCTCTGAGCCATCTCTCCAGCCCTGGGGATTTTTCTCAGTTGAAGTTCCCTCCTTTCAGATAACTCAAGCTTGGTCAAGTTGACATAAAACAAGCCAGCACAGGGTGGGAGGGTGTGGTGGCAGAGGAGCCTGGCTGGCATCAACTGAGTGCCTATGGCCTATGTGGAAGGCTTCCCTGTAAGAGCCCAAACTTAGAGGCTTCTATATATAGCAGATTTTGCCTTGAGCTAAAGTCCTCCAAAAGCCCTCAGGATGGGTCAGGTCCTGGGCCCACAGATTGCCGTTGGCAAGCCCGGGTGTGAAGGGCGCGGCACAAGGCACAATGCAATGTGCCTGGGGATAGAACCTCGGCCCAGAAAGACCCAGGTGTTTTCCAAGGAGGGAGTCCAGACTTGCTCAAGGCTTCTGAGTTCTGGATAGCTCGAGGTACGGGCCTTGGTGGAAAGGAAGAAAAATGAGACCCCACTTAACGCACCTCGCAGGCAGTGTGCCCGGCTTTCACAGCCCAGCTATGGGTGGTATCAACCCCACTTGTGGGTGAGCAAATAGGTTGGGGGAGGAGTGTCAGGTTACAAGGCTTAGTGATGGCGCAAACGCGGGTCCAAAGCCCGGGCTTTCCTCAAACAGCCAGGGGTGGGGGCCGGAAGGAGAGGTTGGGAGTCGCGGAGTCCTGGGAGAAGGGAAGGTGGGCAGGGCCAGGTGAGAAGAGGAGAAAGCTGGCGCCTACGAGTTCAGGTGAAGAAAGTTGCGGGAAGATGGCCACAGGGCCAGGAACTAACTATAAGGGAGAGAGGGCGCTCGGGGGCTGGGC